GGGGTCTTGCTTCACTTGCCACGTCTGGATATCCTTAAAGACAGCCTGACCTGGCTCGTGGCAGGGACCTGTATGTTGAGCAGAGAGTAAAATTCACGCAGAGGGAGGGACGATGTCACGTTACACTGCTTGTTAGGATTTGCTATCAGTGAGGAGAAATCTAAACAGCCTAAATGGTCCTAGTAGTTAGAGGGGTTAGGGAAGTTTGCCAGAGCGTGGAAAGCATAACAACTGTATTTAATAACAATCAGGCTACTCTTATAAATATTTGTGTGTGCTGCTTCAAAGACTACTACACGATCATTCATGTAAGTAGAGTTAGAAAGACGAGAAGGAAGAAAAAAAAAAAAGAGAGAGTGAGAAGAAAAGGGCACTCCGTGTTTTGTAGCTGCTGTAATAAAGAACGGGCAAAGCACCAGAAAGAAAAGAAAAAGGAAAAGAAACCCTCCAAAGTTTAATAAACACAAAAGGGAATAAAAATAAATCTTTGGAGCATTTATTACAAGCCCTTGATGGAAGGATTAGATTGAAGCTCTCAGCCTTTCCAGTGTGGGTGTATGTGTGAAGTCGGCCTGTCTGGCCTCTTCCAACGAGAAGAGAAAAGTTGTTTACATTTCCTAACTTGAGCTGTGCATATAATTGATTTTTTTTTGTTTCACTAGCAGAAATGAAAATTCAGAGGGGAAAAAAAGCTTCTTTTGGATACAATTGAATTTAGATCTTTTTCCTTGCCAGAATGAAAGCCCAACTCTCAGAAGAGCTATGTCAAACAGTGTTTTGTTTCTCCTGAAATGTCAGTACACACAGTACTTGTGAGGAAAGCTGTGGAAATGCAAGGCTTAGTTCATCAAACACAACCGTGGAAGGCGAAAGTGTCATCCTTTTATGCAGGACATTCCTAATTTGGGGGATATCTTCTATTCCCAGTTTCACTTTAAGGGAGCTTGACTCCATCTCATTCTTCTCCCAGAAGCAGTGCCCAGGGGTCTGCATGCTGTTTTGGACAGCCGGTCAGAGGATGCATTCAGTCTCTCCTGTTGGTGATGCTCCAACCTGGAGCCATACTGTGGACTCTTGAGTATTTTGGAATAGGTCTCCTGCACCCCTCCCTTCGGTGCTTTTCTGCTCTGTCAGAGCAGAGCTGCTTTCTGTCCTATTTGCTGGCACAGGAGTTTAGGGGATACTGGAAATTGAACAAAGTCAGTAAGAAGCACAGAAACCACAGTGTCCTTATGCACTTAAACACCCACATACCAGATACATTTTAACCTGGTAAGTTGGACCGTCCTGGGTAAAGCATCTGGTGAAGTTTCAGCTTGTTCAAGAAAAAAAAAAAACAACAAAAAGAATAAAAAAGCTAAGGTTGGTGTTCAGCAAGCTAAAGGGAGGAGGGATGCTGCCTTCACCTTCTCCAAATTTGTTTTGTAACTCGTGTCAACTGTACTGTGATGATTGTGGTTATGATTATTACAGCTGGAAGTCTTCAGGTTTTTTGAGGGTTGAATTAATAGTTTAAAGATGATAAGAATGAAATCTTTCATTGCATTTACTATTCCGTCTCTCCAAAACAAAAGAAATCTTGTGTTTTCCTAGCTACAGGAAACATATTGATTTAATTCTACTCATTAATGATAACGGTTCAAAGAATACTTAAGGAGTCTAGTCTGCAGCAGGGTAACTGTGTTTGCAGACTACCTTGGTCAGAGTCATCCTGGCGTCTACTGAAGTCATTGGGCCAAAACCAGAGGGGAGTCCAGAGGTATCCAACTGAGTCTAAATTGATACAACTGTCAGGTTAAGGTGGAGTCACAAAAAGAGATGAATTGCAGCATCTGAGATCACTTAAAGGCTAATCCAAAACCTTGTACACTCCATAGGGTTCTTTCCATTCCCTTAAAGAGAGTTGCAAGTCTCAATTCTCAGTCTTCATGTTGATAAACTTTCAAATAAACCTCAATTCTGCAGTCAGCCATTCTTTTTCAGATGAAGGGTTCCAGCTGGTGAAAAACCCCGGGTTTTTTTAGCTGTCCATGAATAATGCCATTTCCTGAATTGACTCCCCATGGATACTGTCATGAATGCTAAAAGAAATCAAATTTCTTATGTAGATTTTGCAAGATACAAAACTATCTATCTTGTAAGAGAGATGCAACTTCTGTAAGACAATAATTCATTCTTATTCATGGTGGGTGTCCTACACCTGCCTTCCAGTGAAGGTAAACACTTGTTCGTTGTGTTTATGAATTCACATATGCAAACATAACAACACGCATGCTGAAAGACTTCTCCTTCTCCATCTATCTTCTTTCTATAAGAAAGAGAGTAAAAAGGTGAATGCAGAGATGGTTCAGCAAAATCTATTCAGATACATATTCAATGATATCCAGTATCTAAAATGTAGAAACTGAAAAGGAAGACTACAAATGTAACACTATAAAGATCTAGAAATAAGTTAGAAGCTAAATAGTGACAGTTAAATAGGACTTTTTGATCTAAATAATTCAAGACGGACTGGGTTTGTCTGTGCCAGGGCAAGTGGCTGGCTGCTAGTTTGGCTTGTCCACAGGGAAGGAAATGGTGGGTTGATGCCTCAAATAAATGACAGGGAAGGACAACTTACAACTCATCCTGGAAGCATCAATCCTATATATACCTATTATTATGCCAAATGATATTCCTAGTAGGATTAGGTTTGGCTGAAGAACAAGTAGTAGTCTTGGAGTTTCTTGCAACAGAAAGATAAATTGAAGAGGTTATTTCTCTTTTAAATGAGGATACAATCTTTGAACCAAGTAGCTTTCATAAGAATTTGCAAAATTCATCGAAATAAAGATCATCATTGCATAAAATTAAGCTTTTCTCAGAAGACTTTCATTTGGTATTTTGAGAGAGATCAGCACTAATGTGTTTGCTCATGGGAGAGAGGAGCAGTTCTCGTGCAGGGGTAATTTGCATCTGTTTTTCTTTGAGTTCTCACTATAAGGTAGTGGCATTTTTTTGTCAATAAGCCTAGTAGACAGGAATACAGATCATGATGTTTTGGAGTTTGTTTTCGAGCACTGCAGATGTGAAAATTTATGAACCATTTTTTTTTTAACTAAATAGGATCATAAAGAAGCGTGGGCCTCCAGTTCATATTTATACCTCTTAGTCATTTGACCCTACTGAGGGTCTCCTTTGGGAAGTACTCTTTCAGAGGATTTTTAAAATATTTTAGGAACTTGTCATCTCTCACTTATAAACTATCTAAAGTTGAGGCTGTAATTATTTCTTTATCGTCAAAGTTTTTGTCATAGCTAGGATTATATTTAGGAGATTTTACCTCTCGTCATTTAAAAATGTAGGTTTGGGCTCAATTATGTACGTGTTTGTGAATTTTGTGAAGAAAGAATAAATTTCCTTGTGTGACTGTCTCGCACTTAGTATTTATTCTGTCTTCAGTTTGAACTTAGAATTATTGAAAGAGCTACAACAAACTGGTTATTAAATGTGTAACTGCAAATGGTGTTGCCTCGTGTAGCTGGGAGCTGCTGGGAGCGTTGCTCAGTTCTACTAATGGCAGCCAGTCTAGAAATGCTAAATATTTGGAACAAGGTCTTTAAGTTATTACTGTCTCTTATTGATATGAATAAATATTATTAAGGATTTATTTCAACTACCTTTAATTATCAGTACTTAGAAATACAGGTGAATATACGTTTCTGTGTAAAGAGATGGGCTTCTCCCATCCCTTTACACAGAAATGATAATTTGTGTGTATCTATTAAGGGAAGGTATCTTCCAGAAGAAGGTAGTTTATTTGATTGACAGATGCCTGAATTAATGGTCTGGATATCGAAGGGAGGCGATGGAGCAGGAGGCCTTGCTGGAATTTCAGGCAAGGAGTGCTGAACTGCTCACCTCCCTAACGTTGAGGCTGTTGTCTCCTGACACTGCATGACAAATCCTGAGCTGTGTGAATAGCGAGAAAACTTCATGTTTTGTAATTATTATCTGAAGTCTTCCTGCTGACGTGGCTCCAGGGAGACCTGTTAGCTTTGCTGCCTCAGCTGAAAACCCCTCCCCACCCTCCAATACCATTGTTCTTTTTCTCTTTGTTTTTTCTTTATCCACTTCCATTTCCACACTGTTTAGAGAGGAGGAAACCTGAAGAGAAGTTTTTGTCAGGGCCTTCTGAGTCATTTTGACTCCTCTCCGAGCCTGGCTCCGCAGTTCGAGAAGAGCCTTGCCAGGCGGCAGCATGGCGCAGCCAGGAGGGCAATCAGGGTTTACAGCTAGGAAAAGGAAAGAGTTGTTTTGAAACCTCAACTACTTTAACACTGCTATTGAAGACTTCAAGTCCATTTTTCTAACTGCTTTTTCTGCTTTCCCCCCCAATATATAGTGATGGGTGCTTCCAAGTGCTCAAAATTCATGTAATCCTCTTTTTTCCCTCCTTTTGTTCTCCCTCTTCTCTTCCAGCCCTTCTTACTGTAGTCAGAATGAATATTTTGTTCCAATAAAATCCTTTAATAACTAAATATGAAACAAAATCTGAAGCTGGCTAATTTATGCTTTGTATTCTGGAGGGAAATGGGCTTCAGAGAACATACAGATCAGATGAGTTGCTGTTAGTTGTCCTTTTAGCAGATCCCTATGATGTCTGTGCAAGTCTGAAGGCATTTGCCAGATACCAACTGCTGTGATTTTTTCCCATTTTAAAAGCATCCAGGATTTTCCACCAGTATGTTGAAAGAGGGGAGGTTTAAATGCGTGACCTGAAATAGAGTTGGAAATAGTTGTTAATCTCTGTTAATATGGTATTCCTGTAATCAAACACATGTGGTGTTGGTTTTAGGGTTTTTTATTTTATTGAATTGTTAATAATATTAAATTGGTCATTGGAAACTGAATCATTCTACAGATATTTCCTTTACGGAGGCTGCCTTGTATTTCACTGTTTGAAAGACCAATTTATTTTATCATGAAAAAAATAATAAAATCACATTGCCTTCTTGCAGATGCCATCCCACCAAGCTATTACAGCCTTTACTTCCGAATCGTCAGATTTGACGTCTCAGCGATGGAGAAGAATGCCTCCAACTTGGTGAAAGCCGAGTTCAGGGTCTTCCGCCTGCAGAACTCGAAGGCACGTGTCTCAGAGCAACGGATAGAGCTGTACCAGGTATGGTGACACCCATGTTTCTGCAGCAAACCCACCTTGTACCTGTCTAGCAGGTGGAACAAACCATGGGGGGAAGCTGTTGAGCTCCATCTTTCCAAAGTAACCTCTTATTTCCCATGCTTTTCTTAGAAAGGACTTTATTCAAAACCATATGAAGCTGAAATATGTAAACTTTTTCTGGCAGTTATGCCCCAGGACTCCAAAGTTCAAGTGTAGTAAGTGATAGAACAAGACATCACACAGGTCATCACCAGGACCTCTGTCTCAAACACCTGGCCTGTACATTAGTTTACACAGAAGTCAAATTCCTCTTTCTGACTTGTGTTCAGGAGAAGCCTATTAACTGTTCCTCACAGAAATGGCTTTGTTAATAATTGAGTTTCAAAGCTTGCAATTTCAGACCTGGCTTCTGTAGAGTAGCAGAGGAGTTCAGGCAAGGGAGTGGACCATTCCGAAATTGAGGAGGAAAGTGACCCCATGGCTCTCTTACTTCCAAGTGTTGATAAAACTGATGTGGTTTAATCTTTAAAGACTTTAAAGCCTTTAAAGTCACTTACACAGAGTCTGTGTGTTTGTGCAAATATTGTCTAGAGCATATTTAATCTATAGCATAGTTCACTTTGCTGAGAAACACAGCAACCAAAAGGGGCTCAGCTCCCGGTAGTTTTACAGATTAAAATTCATGGTTGTTCTGGCAACCTGGGACTTGTTCTGCTGAAAACCCTGCCAGGTAAGATCGTCCTCTAAATGAATATTGAGCCTGGTTTTTTGTTCTGTTCTTGCTGCTGTCATTAGCTCTGTATGAGCACTGCCCTGGAATTGCAGCACTGTAGAGTCCAGTTCAGATCCACTGGGTTCAAATTTGAGTTAGTTTTCTCCCTCCCTTACAATGTTCACTTTTTCCTGCCTGATCTTGTCAAGTGCAAGCCAGACTTGGAGCAGAGTGTTTAAAAAAAGGTTGGATGTGGCACTTCGGGAGGTGGTTTAGTGTTAGGGTGGCGTAGGACTGTAGGTTGGACTTCATGATCTTAAAGGTCCTTTCCAACCTTTATGATTCTGTGATTCAGAGAAGGGGTAATCTGGGTTCACATGCTTGCCAAAGTGACAGTATAAGCCAACTTTAGAGTCTGACAACAGAGAAAGGCACACTCAACTGTCCAGACATTGTTTAAACATAGGAGAAGGGTGATTCCCGACTGAATGTGGTTCAGGTCCACAGACGGTCACTGGGCGCTTGGCTTCACGGCTGCATCCTGGCTGCTTTGCTTCCCAAGGGCAGGCTGGCAGAAAAGTTGAGTAATTAATGTGGCATTTGTTAAAAGAGAAAGCTGGGAATCTTTAAGAAGAGTCACTGGTGTTGAGAGTTACACTACAGTCCCTGTGACACTGGCACACCAGCCTGCTGAAACGATTGTACGTTCTGTCTTGACCTCACTGTTCAGTCATCGTAAAAGGCGTTGATGGCATCTCCGGGCTTTCTGTTGTTCTGCTTTTGAGAGCTATTAGTCAGCCACCTGAAAAGAGTAAAGCTGCAGTTGCCTGAGCTCGCTTCATTGCTTTTCCATGTTTGAGGAACGTGGGACACAAAGGGTTCAGTGGAGGTAGAGAAGAAGGGGCCTTTACTTGGCTGGGATTTCACCCTGTGATGAGAAACAGCTGGAGCTTATTTGAGAGAGCCCGACTCCAGCAAGCCTGTGCCCATGGAAATGACTGACACCTGCATCCAGGGCAGGTACTTGGGTCCTTCAGATAAATATATAGCTAGTGAGTAAGGCAGTTTCTTTTTTAGACTGGGTGGGGCATCTGAGTAAAGTGTTAGATGAGTAATGAGTGTAGGCTGTTGTAGGATTAGGTCTTTTCTTCACCAAGTAACAGGCAAGCCAAAGGTAGTGAGCTCCGAATTTGTGTTTGTGCCAGGCATATTTTAGGCATGTTACTTTGCTCCTTTGCCTGTAGAGAGGCAAGCTGTCTCTGGAGCATTTCCTTTGTACAGCACCTATTAAAATAATAAAAGTTGCCTATTTGTTCCTCTCTCTGCTTTACTTCTTAAAAGCTCCTGTAGCCTTCTTCTGCTGGTTGTTTTTCCCCACTTGGGTCGTATTTATTTCTTGCAATCTTGTACGCAGCTCTCCCCAAAACCTTGTATGGAGGTATTATCTTAGTTCTGTGATGGGTTCCTTGCTGGCAACTCTTCTGCAGGAGCGCTGGAGTCCCTAAATACTGCTGCATCTAATCTCCAGCACTGCATGTGAGGTTAGCATACAGTGTTTAACAGGAAAAGCAAAAGCAGGGAGAAATTGGAGAGACTGATGATCCTTATGGGTCTCTTCTAACTTGAGATACCCTGTGATTCGATGTATCATAGGACAGTGCTGTAGAAAGCATGCTAAAACTTAATATGTGAATTTTAGAGATTAGAAAGAAGAATATCTAAGGAGTTGAAGGTGAGAAAGGATGGATAGGAGGCATTGGTACCATGGTGATGCTAAAGAAGCTTCAGGCTCTGTAATGATAGATTGATAGTGCAGATAGGGGTGTCTAGCAGTGGAGGAAGTGGGAGATAAAAGAGGAAAAGGAGGAAGGTGTTAATTTCAGTGGAAGTGGGAGAGGCAAATGCATTCTGCATGGGCTGAAGACTTAACTTGGGTGTCTTTGCTTCCAGCATGAAAAGCCACGCATGGAGAGCGAGCTTTACACAGGAGATTACTGGAGGAGTTGGCATGTGCAGCCACCACTCCTCCCTCCTCCGTGCATGAGCACTGCTTCCTGTCTTCTGAGATACGTGCTGGGCTTGCCAGGGCTGTTGTGCCCAGAAGGAATAATGTGGTTCTTCATCTTGCATAAGCAACATTTTAATTATTAGGGCGTCTTCTTTTTTTTTTTTTTTTCTTTTCTATCCTCCTACCAAGTTTTGGATTGCCTGGTGTTTTGCTTTATTGAGAAGAACTTGATGAGGGTTTTTGAGATTCCTTTCATACCTGCAGTTTCAGGGAATGGTTGTTCCTGCGACACCTCATCTTTCCCAGTCAAGCAGGAGGAGAGAGATAAAATGCTTCTGGACAGAGTCGGAGTTCTCTTCTTGCAGTTTACTTTGAAAATGGCTGTCCCTGAACACATACAGTTCTCCCAACTGCTCATGAAGAGTTTTCTGATTTAGTTGAGTGTTGATTTAGTAGTAGTACATGTACCACTGGTGCAAAAGGGGCAATATTACTCTGAAGGACAATTTTAGGAACAGCTAGAGACAGATGTGCGGGGTAGATGGAAAAAATAAGCAAGCAGAGTATAAATATTTTGTTTCTCCTCCTGATCCTTTCTTTGTGTGGTCCTCTGACCTTACAGATTTACCCCTTAAGACAAAAAAAGAAATGCAAGACTGCACCTTTTCGGCTGAGCTTTCCTCAGGCTATGCTTGGCTCCCTTTTCCAAACCACATCAGAAAAGGACTTTGTGTTTTCCTGCAGTGCCTTGTTTTCACTGACTCCGGGAAGGCAGTCTGGAGCTGCTTGGCATGGCAAGCCAGGGCCGTGGCCCCTTGCTCCCAGCCCCCCGGTGCAGCATCAGCAGGACCCTATTCTCAGCTCAGAGGCAGGGTTGCAGCAGAGAGCACAGAGCACCCCGTTGTAATTATGCTGAGAGTGAGTGGTTGTAGGTCTGTTTGCCACGTCTGCTGCTCCTTGGGTTTCTCCGGGCAATAAGTCCTGGAGATTAAGTCTCATGGAGGTGCTCTGGATGTGTCTGTGAAGCCAGCGGGCGAGTGGTAATCCCCGAGAACAGAAATAGTTTCTTTTAATGTCTGTTTTCACCCAGAGTACTTCTTTTGGTATTTAAGGATTAGTCAGCCACATCTGTGTGTTCCTGTGCAGATGGGAAGTGTGGTGCATATATTAAATGGTCTTGCGATGGAAAAGAATAAAACTCTTAGAAGAAAGAATTGTTTCTTTTATAAGGCTGATATAAAAGCTTCTGTCTCTTCTTGGCTCTGGTTAAGTGAAGCCATGGAGAATTAAATTCTTTCAAGGCACTATCTTTTCTGTTGTTTCTTTTTCCTGAAAGTGAGGTTTAATCTGCTGGGGGTGCAACTGATCATCAGCACTTTGGAGAATGGAAAGCCAGAGGGAAGGAAGGAAGGAAGAGGCATGACCTCAGATGCAGTGAGCGCTCTCCCGTGCTTCTCCTCCCGTCCTTCCACTGCGCTGCATTCGCTCGATGTGCTTCTCAACAGGCACCGAGATTTCAGAAAATATTAAGAGGATAAAATACTTTTGGGCGAGGGAGGAAGAATAATATTAAATAAACAAGTTTTAGCATCCTCCAGTGGCCCTTGCTATGTTTTTAAAGATTTATGCCAAATGCAGGCTTTATTGGAATTTGATCAGATAAAGCTCAGTTGTTATGGGAATGTCTTTGTTCATCAGTGTTCTTGCCGGCTTTGAAGACTTTGTCACATCTTTCTTTTATTAAGGTGCTTCTGTATTTATGAATAAAGTCCCTGCACCCTTCGAAAAAAAGCTTGTCTTTTATGAATAAACATTTCAAAAAATAAATAGGCACTGCCGCAAAGTTAGATGAGTGAAAACCCTCACAGGGTGAAAACTCATCATTCAGAGAGCATTGTGGTATTGTTTTTAAGGTATTTTTATTACGTACAGACGGTCAAACAATAACAAGTAATAATTACTTCCTATGGAAGTGGTGCCATGTTTTGTTAACACATCATAAAGCATCACAAAAAATGCAGCCGAAGCACTGTTTTTTATTGTTGTCATTATCCGAGGCTGCTGTGGGTGGGAGTACCTGAGAGGCTGCAGACGTGGGGGACATACCACAGGATATATCAGAGCACAGGATTGGAATGAACAAGGCCACATTAAAGCCTGGAGGACACAGTGGACTGCAGAAAGGAATTTAAGTGAGCAGGAGCAGACCTTTGGTCTTTCCGTGTCAAGGAGGGCCTGATCCATGCTGAGGGCTCCTGTGGAGCCTGCTTGAGGTCCAAG